TGTGTGTGTCTGTGTGTGTGTCTGTGTGTGGGTGTGTGTCTGTGTGTATGTGCCTGTGTGTGTGTGTCTGTGTGTGAGTGTGTGTGTGTGTCTGTGTGTGGGTGTGTGTCTGTGTGTATGTGCCTGTGTCTGTGTGTCTGTGTGTGCCTATGTGTGTCTGTGTGTGTGTCTGTGTGTGTGTGTCTGTGTGTGTGTGTCTGTGAGTGTGTGTCTGTGTGTGTCTGTGTGTGGGTGTGTGTGTCTGTGTGGGTGTGTCTGTGTGTGGGTGTGTGTCTGTGTGTGTCTGTGTGTAGGCATGAATGCCACACTGTGAGTATGGAGGTCAATAGACAGCAATAGGGGTTGGCTCTCTCCTTACAGTGTGGGTTCCAGAGATCAAACTTCTTTGTGTACCAGGGGACTTTTTATCTGCTGAGCCATCTTGCCAGCCCTAGATTTCTTTACAGTTTCTTGTATTTTAAATGTTTCGAGGTTTGCCTTATTTCTTGAGTCTGAGTTACTGGAGTATAATTTTCATGCAATAAATTCAAGCACGTGGCTTAATGAGTGGTTAGTTCCCTAACCACTATTACATTACTGATGTAGATGGCTTGTCCCATCCGAAAGGCCTCTCCTTGACCCTTTGCCCCCCTCCCACCACCAGCCCCTGTGATCCACCAACCTTATTTCCAGCCCTATAGTTTTCCCTTTCCTAGAACATCTCGAGAATGGCATGCCCTAGTGTGTGGCCTTTTGATCTAACTTCTCTCACTGAGCATGATCTTCGAACCTCTCGCCAACAGCACACGAGAACGAAACGTCTTTAAAAGGCATTCAGCTAGATTGGGGGTGTAGCTCAGTGGGTAGTGTTTGCCCAGCATGCATGATGTCCTGAGTTCATTATAAACCAGGTTCAGTGACGAATATCTGTCCTTCCAAGTCAAGGTCATCTTCAGCTACACAGGCATTTCCTAGCCAGTCTGGAATACAAAAGAGCTCTGCCTTTCTGCTAGCTCATCTGAAGTGGTGTCTGTGTCTGTCCTCTTAACTCTTTAATAGCCGGTGTTCTGGAGTGCCTAGGAAGGGCCCGCGTTGAATAAGATGTCCGTGTTCTTGTTGAGCCTTTGTTTTCGTCTATGATGCAGGGTCTCCTCCTGTAGTCTAAGTTACCTTGGACTTCTGATCTTCCAATCTTGCTTCTTACTGATTTTTTTTGTTTGTTTTACACATTTTCATTTCAATCTGGCTTTATTTTGTTTCTTCATGAATAGACCAGGTCAAACATCTGATACGGCCCTCCTAACTGGGATTTCAGGTATCCATTCAAGTCGGATCACCCATATTGATGTTCTTCTGGTTAGTTTTCTATGTGGTACTTCGTGGGAATTTGGGGCAGTTCCACAAAAGACAGTACATTTTACCAGGAAAAATTGGGTCCCTTTGGGGGTTCTTAGTCTCTAATAAAAATATTTAGGAATGGACTCAAGGGAACCTTGAGGCAAATTAGAGTAGATAAACAGAGTAAGCTGCAGGCTTGGCAGCTACCCAGAAACATCAGATAGAAGGAAGCAGGGAAGCCATCCACACTACAAGCAGCCATATAGCCAAGGGGAGCAGATAGCATCACATGGGGGAGGGGGAGAGTAAAAAGGCCCAACGGACTAGAAAAAGCACATTAGGCTGTGGTCAACAGAAGGAAACAGAAAAGAACTAAGGTTAAAAATTACACCTTTCATGGTTAGAACTCAGAGGGCATGGAGAGTCCACAGCTACTACAGAGCGGACAGGAATTCTAGAGAGGAAAAAACAGTGTCTCATTAAAGGGAAAATTATTCCTGTCTCATTAGCACCACTCAAGTTGTATCCCCCTCCCTATAGGGTGGCTCCACCCTTTTGAGAGGTAGTCCCTTAAACAGGCGATTGACTTGACCAACTGGAATGTTGTCTCCAGTACCCTAGACCTGAGATCCCATCCTCTTGGCCAGAAGGACAGGTGTTCACTTCATGGGCCCCACTGCTATCATACCATGAATTCTCCCCTCAAGCATCTTTCACCTGACTGTGAACCTGTGATAATCTCGTCTGAAGCAAGTATCACTCAGTGGTTGAAACAAACAGGTTTATTAGCTGATATTCTATAGGAAAATTTTTTTGAGTGCCATTATCAAGTCATGGTTTATTTTTATGATTGTTGTGCTTCACTGTGGTCTTTATCTCCTTAATCCCATCTGTCTGGGGGGGGGGGTGTCCATGTGTCTGTGTGTCCGTATTTGTATACTTGTGGTGTGAGTGTGTGTGAGTGTGTGTGTTATTAAAATCAAACCTAGAGCCTTGCACTACACCACAAGCACTATACCAAAGAGCTGTAAAACACAAAAATAATCTAGCTTTGGCTGATGTGATCCATGTTGCCATTTAACTATAAAGCATGAATTAGACTAGGCTGGTTTAACTATTGACAGGAATAGAGAAAACTGTCCACGGGTTGGAGGCTTGCTGAGGCCCTTCTTCCTGTGTGTGACCTTCCTAGATGAGACCTGTGAGCGTACGAGAGACACTTCTATAGATCAGTGTCACTTAGTTCTGCTCAGTGTCACTTAGCTCTGTTCCCGCCATCTTTGTTTTAGGCACACTTACCCATCTATTGAGCACCCCGTCACCCCCCATGGTTATTTTCAGTATCAGCACCAATTTGCCATTGAGTCTCTGAGACCCAGCTGCCCATGCCACGTGCCTCAAGTACTCCTTCCTCTGCAACCCTGTGGTGGCCCTGGCCTGCCTCTTCTACACCTCAGTAACCCTTTTCCAGTAACCCAATTCTCTGTCGCTCCATTTTTAGGATCTTACCTAGCCACATGACCTGCTGCCTCTGCAAATTTAAGGCGAATATTGAGGTTATCTGCAAGACAATCAAACTGCATTGTCATACGGGATGTCTGACAAACACCACACAATGTCGTGAGTCTCTTGCCTGATAAATGATTTAATTTTGACGTATAATTTTTAACTGGTGAATATATTTTTAAATTATTTTTATTTTTATTAAAATTAATTCCCTTTCTGCCTTCTTTCCTCCTTCCAATATCTCCCACATCCCCCTCACTCTCTCTCAAACTGACCCTTTCTCTTGATTATTATTGTCACATACCCAGATATATAAACACATAACTATATCATACTCATATCATAAATATATCATACTTATAAATATATAAATATATTTATATATAAATATGCTCGCTGAGTCTGTTTGGTGTTGCTTGTGTGTATATGGCATCTTGTCTCTGGTAACCAATTAGGAAGCTCATCTCTGGAAGAGGCAAATTCTCCCTCTCAGCAGTCACAGATTACCTCTAGTTCTTTACCTGGGAGGAGTGACCCATAATAGTTCCCCCTTAACGTGTCTATTGGTGGTCCCATTGTTCAGGTTTACCTAGACGACCATATTTAAGGTATCATGGGTGTAACTTTCCTGTTATACATAGAAGACAAAAGTCTCACAGCTGACTTCCTGGTCCTCTGGCTCTTATCTTTCTGCCACCCCTGCCCCTTTCTGTGATGTTCCTAAAATTTAAACTAACAATAGACTTGTTGTTTCCATTCATTCATTCAGAATAATACCTCCCCAAACTTCTGAATTTCTCCCTTGTGGAAATTGGGCTCCCAGATGTTATTTCACTATTTAAAAACATGACTGTTCTGTAGGCCAGAGAGATGGCTCAGAGGCTCGAGATGCCTGCCACACACACCTGGTGATCGAGACTCAATCCCTGGAACCCACAGAAAGGTAGAAGGAAAGAATAAACTCCACAGAGTTGCCCTCTGACCTACACACTCAAACCATCACACACATGTACCTGCACACAACATGCACATACAGACACTATATATAGAGAGAGTGTATGTGTGTATAGAGACACACATATATAGTACCTATGTATGTATGTATGTATGTATGTATGTATTTACATACACATATTATGCACATACAGACACTATATGTATATAGTGTATTGTGTATATATAGAGAGACACGCACACATATATAGTACCTATGTATGTATATACATATATATTTATATACATACACCATGCACATACAGACACTATATATATACTATATACACATACTATACACTGCATATACACTATATATACACACACATATATATATATATATACTACCTATATATATAGTGTCTGTACGTGCATGGTTTGTGGATATATGTGTGTGTACACATATATGCAGGTAGAGAGATAACTTAGTGGTTAAAAGTACTTGCTGCTCTTTCAGAGGACCAGGGTTCAGTTCCCAGCGCCCACATGGTAGCTCACAACCATCCGTAACTCCAGTTTCAGGGGATCCAATACCCGTTTATGACCTCTGCAGGCCAGGTAGGTACAGACGTATGAATGCAGGCAAAACACTCCTACGTATAAAATGAATGTTTTAAAAGGATACACATATTAACCAGGTGGTGGTGGCACACGCCTTTAATCCCAGCACTTGGGAGGCAGGCAGATCTCTATGAGTTAGAGGCCAGCCTGGTGTATGGAGCAAGTTCCAGAACAACCAGGGCTACACAGAGAAACCCTATCTTGAAAAAATAGATATGCATATAAAAAACTTCTCCAGACACAAAAAGATCAAGAGATGAAACAGGACGGGGAGCAGGAGGAAATGTTCGCCCTCTGCGAGCTGTATACAATGTGCTTGGAACCTCACTTCCGTATCACGTGATCACATCGCGCATGGCAGTCTGACGCTCGCCTCCGTGATCACGTGCACATCGCACATGGCAGTCAGATACTTGCTTTGTCTACATTAGGTCTCAAGTCCCCCCTGACTTATGGGGCAGGAGGAGAATGGTTTGGTTTCCTGTTGCTGTGTATTTTAACACTGTGATGCCTTTTTATTTAGAATCCAAGAGCCCCTTGTTTTATAAGGGGTGAGTGCCTTCCCAACTCTCCTGCTAGAACAAGCCTGGATTGGCCAGCTCTGTATTCGTGCGCGCCCTCAAGTTTTTCTATTCACAGATCACTCGTGTGATTTTAACTATTTATTTGCTGGATGCTTGGTTTTTGAGGCATGCTCTCGCTCTATATGCTTGACTGGCCTAGGACTCGCCGCGTCCATCAAGCTGGCCTTGAAGCGATCTGCTTGTCTCTGACTGACAGTTTTTGTTTTTTTGTTTTTTTTGTTTGTTTGTTTTGTTTTTTTCTGGGATCAAAGGTTTATGGCACCGTGCCTGGTAGCATAGGATTTTGAATGTGTCTTTCTAAGCCGAGTGTGGCGGCAAATGGCTGTAATGCCACCTACTCAGGAGGCTGAGGCAAAGCCATATAGACAACTTAGCAAGACTCTACATTCCAACCCTGACCATATTCCGAGGATGGAGCAAGCGTGGTTCTCCGTACACTGTGTGCACGACACAAATGTTCCCAAAGGACACTTGGCCTGGCCTGGCCTCTCTTTTTGTTATTCTCATTTCATAGGTTTACAGGGTGGGTTTGTTCTTCTCTTCACTAATGGTCGCTCCAGCCAGTATCTGCTGGCCCCTAATTTATTTGATAGGGTTGAATGGTTGCGAACTGAGGAAGGGGCTGCTGGTATTCTCTGACCAAAAGCAATCTCTTGTTCTTTAACAGTTGAAGCATCTATAGGGAACCCAGAAGGAGCATTCATGAAGGTGTTGCTGGCCCGGAAGGAGAACACCAGAGCTGAGCTCACTATTGAACCAGAGAAGAGCTATTCAGACCAGAAGGATCTTGGCTCTTCAAGACTCATGAATGAGCAGCTTGACTTTAACGATGAAAGTGACGTCATTAGTGCCCTAAATTACATATTGCCGTATTTCTCAGAGGGGAATCTGGAAGAGGTGGTATCGACATTGTTACCATTCATTAAACTCCTGTTTTCCAATATGCAGAATGGAGATAATTCACTGGGACCCTTACAAAATGATACAAAGAGCCTTACTCTTAAATCAGTACCTAAGGCTAGTAAGTTGGCTTTACCTAAGGCTAGTAAATTGGCTTATAAACATAAAGTGAATAAGCTTTCTTTTCTAGAAAATCTGTTAGATGCGGAAATCGATGAGGTTAGAAAGGAAGCAAAAACCGCCATGCTTGTTCAGCAGTCGAGCCGTTTAGATCCCAAATTTAAACGACGAATATTTGAAAAGAGGTGGGAACCTGCCCAGGCAGAGGAAGACAGTCTTGCAGAGATTGAGAAGGCAGAGAGACGGCTCCACAGTATGAGCAGGGTACCTAAGGGGACAGGAAACATACAGAAAAGGCACTTCAAGGACGTGAAGGGCAAGAGCCTGTGGAGCAAGCAGAGTGTGCAGACACCTGTGGAGAACATCTTCAAGGACAGGCAGCTCGGGAGCCCACCATCAACGGAGCTACAGTGGCTCCGTCTGGAGCAGAGGCCCAGGGAGTTAGTGGGGAATTCCTTCCCCTCAGAGCCCTTGCTCCCAATGGAGCACAGGGAGGAACTCTCTTCCTCCCCAGAACCGTCCCTGGTGGACAAGGCTCCCACTACAAAATCGCTACCTGAGTTCATAGACAGACGAAAAGACTTGTCTTACACCATTTATGTTTTAGAAAGTGCAAAGGCTAATGTGAAGAGAACGAAGGGTTCTAACCCAAGTTTACAATCTGAAGAGAGACATCGAAACCTCAGGAAGAAAAAATCTCATTTCCAGTTGATTGCAAAGAGGCCGGCAGCATCCTCTGCAGTGAGGAGCCTGATAAATTCCCCTGCTCGAGGGATCTTTTCATCTTTAGGAGACCTGAGTTATGCAGAAAGGCCCTTTTCAGAATTGTATGTTGCTTCAGAACCTTCTACAGAAAAGCCTCCTGAAGAAACTCAGGCTATAATAGAGATTACTAAAGAAAACACCTTCCAATCAACTGTGCCTAAAGAAACTGTGTCAGAAAATAAACCTCCTGAGAATCCTACTACAGATTCTAATGTGTCTACATCCAACTTAATTCCAACTGTTCAGCAAACCAGCAAGCCACAGTCAGACTTCACTGTGGGTGCTGATACGCATGTCCAACCCGTAGAAGTTGCTAACCCATCATTGATGTCACCAGGAGAACAGTTTGAATCTCATCTAAACCAGCAGCTGCGGCCCCTCATCCCCAACAACGATGTGAGAAGGCTCATCGCTCACGTTATCAGGACGTTGAAGATGGACTGCTCTGACACCCGTGTGCAAATGTCCTGCGCCAAGCTCATCTCCAGAACAGGCCTCCTGATGAAGCTTCTCAGTGAGCAGCAAGATTTCAAGCTGTCCAGGACCGACTGGGATACAGACCAGTGGAAAACTGAGAACTATATCAACGAGAGCACAGAAGCCCAAGGCGAACAGAAGGGTCTGGAACCAAGTCAGGTGAGGACAGCCCTGAGACACGGGGCCACAGTCTCCCCAGTCAGTTCAGCAGAAAAGACTAGAGGCTCCCACTTCAGATCTTCTGCTGGCCACATAACTCTAGCCCAGCCAAAACAGATTCCCTGTTGTGCTTCTGTATGCTTTTTTGGCTTTTGTTTTGTTTTTGAAACAGGGTCTCTGAATATAGCCCTGAATTCTTGAAATTCCCTATGTAAACCAGGCTAGCCTCAAGCAATGAAACTCAAGTGATATCCACCTGCCTCTACCTCCCAGTGCTGGGAATAAATGTGTTTGCTTCCACTGTGTTCCTAAGCTTAGAGGCAGAAGCAGGCCTAAAACACAGAATATAATAAAATGTGCAATAACAAGGCACCTTACACGTTGGATTCAGTATGGTCTTTTATAAATATGACGGCTACTCGCCTGGAAGGATGTTTTTAGGGTTTTTTTTTCCTATCGTTTTGTTATGCAGTGTAGATCAAACCCAGGGCCTAGTACAAGCTAAGCAAAGGGTTCAACCACTGAGGTACATCCCCAGATCTTAGTCCTTTGAGTCAGAGTCTCACTGTACAGCCCAAATGGCCTGCCCACTTTGGAGTGGAAGTTGGTGCCAAACTCATGGCAGCCCTTTTCACTCCCTAAGTGCTAATCACCGTGCACAGCTCAAGAATGGATGTTCAACAATTAGGCTTCACCTTCATTTTACAATTTGATAACAGAAATGTCCACTTAAACATTTATCTTGTACTTTTTAGCTCACAAAAGTAGTTCCAGGATATGGCTACAACAACAAAGTCATCTTGGCGATATCTGTGACAGTCGTAGTGACAGTTTTGATTATCATTTTCTGTCTCATCGAGGTAAGGACAACAGTACATCCTTGTATCCAGAACGTACCCTGTCTGTGTAGTAGATTTAGAACCTGTAAACTGGAAACCAGAGCCACTTAGCCTCTCTGTCTAAGTCAAGTCCCCGTGTGTTCACAGGTTTTCTGTATGTGAAACATGTCTCCTCAATGCCAGGTCCTTATGTCACATTCTGATTTGGTGTCAGAGGGGTGGTTGATGTGAGACATTCTGGAGCAATGAGTGAGTTTTCTCTCAGTGAGGACAGGCTCAATTTTAAGCTTGAAAAGTAGAAATCTGCATGAGGTTCATTTACAAACCCCCAGGAGGATGTCCACTGGCCAGTGCACAGACAACACCCTCCACACCTTGTGGTGGTTGTAACCTCCTGGGAGATTTCTGTACAGTCCTGTGTTGCTCTTTCATTGTGTGTACAGTTAGTTCATCCTTGTGCTTGCATTTATACTTTTTGAAAATTTTATGTGTATGGGTGTTTTGCCTGCATAATAGTGCATGTCTGTGCACTATTGTGTGATATTTTTCCCCGGGGAGACCACACACACACACAAACACAGAGACACACTCACACACACACACATGCACACACATATACACATTCACAAACACACACATGCACACGCACACACACAGTTACTTACCTTGAAAAGGAAGTCCACAACAAAGAAAAAAATTGCACCAATTTGGTGAACTTAGTGAGTTTTTACTAGGGTTACCAACATGAGGATGGCTGAGGAGTTACACGGAGCCAGGATAACTCAAAAAGAGCTGCATCATCAGAAATACTATTCCAACATGGGCAGCAACTCCAGAAATCCTGAGATTCTGGGGCTCTCTATGCCTGCAGATCTGTGTGGCTTGTGTACAGTGCCGGAGTCAGCCACCATCTGCCATGTGAATGTTTCTATCAGCAGTTTTCAGCTCAGGGTCTCCAATCTCAGTTTTGTCCCCTTTTATACTGTTGGGAAGAGGCCCCAGGTGATCTTCCATGATTTCATTTTTCCAGATATGAAACCTTTCGCTCAACTCCCTTTTACCACCAGAGGCTGGTTGGTGACTCCTCCCTTTCCCTCATTGAAGTAATGTTTTAATTCAAAGGAGCATGCCATAAACTAACCACTCTGTGCAGACATGGTGGGACCCCCTGGGACCCTCTACTGATACTTTCTAGCACATTCCTAACACCATTTTGTCATTTGCACATCCTTCTCTTCAGTTTTTCTTTCCTTGTTTAAGACAAGGTCTTTTGTCCCAGGTTAGCCTGAAACTCACTATGTAACCCAGGCTGGCCTTCAACTCCTGATTTTTCTGCTTCAGAATCACAGGCATGTGATACCATGTCCAGCAGCCCAGCAGATATAGTATTTTGCCTGCATCTATGTCTGTGCACCATGCTCATACCTGGTGTCTGTAGAAACCAAAGGGGTGTATCAGATCCCCAGGAACTGGAGTCTCAGTTTTTAGCCACCATGTGCACGCTGCTAATTGAACCTGGGTCCTCTGGAAGGGCAGTCATGGCTCATAACCCTGTCTCTCCAGCCTCTTATAGTTTTTAATCATTTTGGGGGCATTGTTGAATCAGAAGATAACACACACAAGAATACCTAGTTTTGAAATAATTTTTATTGAATGATTCATTCTTTCTTCGCTGGTCTAGAATACCAACTCTATCTGGACCTAGATCCTGCTGTGGTCCCTGTAGCAGTACAAGAATCACACTGTTAAATCACAGTTGTAATTTTGGTAAGGCAGGCTACTGAGTTCCAATCTGTTTTTCCACACATTGTGTAATTATTCTTAAAGTTTCCCTACCAAATGTCAGCCAGTCTTATTTTTGTTTAAAAAAAAAAAAGAGGAAGAAGAGGAAGAGGAGGAGGAAGGAAGGAAAAAAGAGGAAGAGGAGGAAGAAGGGGAAGGAGGAGGAGGAAGAGAAGAGGGAGGAAGAAGAAGAGGAGGAGGAAGAAGAAGAAAAAAGGAGAAGAAAGAAGAAGGAGAAGGAGAAAGGAAACAAGGATTGTGGAGACTGCTCAGTGGTTAAAGCATTTTACACACAAACATGGAGACCAGTCTTTAGTTACAATTCTCAGGACCTAGGAAAATTCCAGCCAGGCATGATGGAACGGCAGCCACCTGAAATTCCCACTCCAAAAGGCAGAAAAGGAATTTTCCAAGAACAAGCTGGATCATAAGACTAGTCCTCTCAGTGAGCTCTGGATCGGATTAATCCTCAATCGGTGGATAAGGTGAAGAGCTGTCTAGATATCCAGCCTCAACTTCAAGCCTTAGTAAGCATTCGCACACACGCACACGTACACACACACACACGCAAGCACACACATTCTCCACATACACACAGTATATACATGAACACACACAGAAAGTAGGGAGGAGATTCAATTTAATAAAATGACATGGTATTTACAGTTCTACCCTGAGGATTGACCTTTCTAACACTGCTGCTCCTGTGGCCTCCTCTTTTATTCTCCCCCACCCCCTTCTCTCTGGAATTAAATCCAGGCTTTGGGAAAGCACTCTACCACTGAGATACAACCCCTAAGCTTTCCTTGTTTTAGTTTGGCATGGGTTTTGGTTTGGTTTGGTTTTTTAAAGACAGAAACACACTCTCTGGCCTAGGCTGGCTTGTCATTTCTCTTAATGTTCTCCTGAAGAATGAAGAGTTTTAATTAGAGAACTTACTCATTTTCAATTGCATTTACTTTGAGATACTCTGTCCATCTTCGTAGCTACCATAAAAAAATGGGATCTTACAGTTTTGAGTTTGTATTGGGAAATCCACTGGGGTCGGTATTGTTGGTCTCCTGTTTTGTGACGCCAACATGATTGAATCCTCTTAGTTTAGTGAAATGTTGATTGTCTTGGACTTTTGGCTGTCCATTGCTTTCAATTACTAACAACGGTTTTGTTCCTTTCTCCTCAATGTTGTGTTTATTTTCCTTTTCACACTTAAGGACTCCCTGCTCCCAAGACATATACCTTGTAGCTGTGGTAAGAGACACTTTGCTCTTGCTCTTCCAGAAGATACCTTGAGGAAGTTAAATGATGTTTCTCACTTTGACTTTTAAGAGTTTTTACTTGGATGTGTTGCATTTTACATAAACTAGTCAGTACACTGTACTAAGTGGCAGCCACATGGGAAGCCTGGAGCAAGGTGTTATGGGAGAGAAGACTAGCACAGCAGATGTCAGATAAAAGGAATGTAAACGAAAAGACAGAAACCACTGATGTAATCACAATGTTTTCCTCCAAAACAGATTTATTCTCATAGAACAGCAAGAGAGAGAGATGAAGAAAAGTTCTCAAGGTAAATATAAGGTTGGCAGTTGTTCCAGAAGAAGCTGAAGAGTTAGCGGAGAGCTTGGGCTTCCTCTCATTTAATCCTCTCACTTGGCAGTGGGAAACTCAAGAAAAATGTTCTTGATGCCTTGCCTGACTCCCCAAAATAGCAGGCATATCTAGGCCCAGCAAGAAGGCCTCCAGTGTCATTTCTTTGGTAGCATCAGGGATTCACTATGTAGCCAAGGCTAGCCTCAAAACTCTTGTTTCTGTTTCCCAAATACTAGAATTAGGTATGATCCATCATGGCCAACTAGTCATGTCCTTTAAACTGTTCTCACAGCTCACTCATCAGAGGCAGTCTGCAGGGTGAAATTCTGAGTTCATGAGCTGAGCCTTGCACTTGGAGCTGGGCAGACAGGAGCGACCCACTCCCTCACCTCAGAAAATCTGTAAGAGTTGGTCAAAAGCACCAATGTGAAAGGCTCTGGAGAGCAAAATGCTTCTGCCTGGGGTGGTTTCTTCAAAGAGATAAGTTTGTTCAAAGAGATAAGTGGGACTCTAGTCATGCTGGCACTTTGGCTGTGCTCCAGGGCAACCTATAGCCAAAGATCTCCCCAGCGGCCTTGTGGGGCTCTTAGAACAGAAGTTCCTAGAAGCCAGGCATCCATGGAATTGTTCTCAAGTCCCAGGGATAGGGTGAATTTCTTATGGGAAGAGCCAAGATGTCCCCCAGGAGACAGATAGATAGACAGACAGACAGACAGACAGACAGACACACACACACACACACACAAATGACTCAGTCACTAACTAACTTCTGTGTTTTCTTCCAAGGGCTAAGAAATACTACTGCAAGACCACTGAGATTCAGGTAAGCTTGAAACTGGGTGTGGTGACTGGAGACAGTGGGGTAAGTGAAACCAATGTCTCCCCTTCTGTTTTCTAGGATGGATTTTTCTGGCTAAGATGCCCACTGTGGCTTAGGGACATGTATAGGCCTCTGCATGACACCAGAAAGAAAAACATGGCTCAGGACCTACAGGACAAGGAGTCCTCTGGAGAGGAGGAGATTTTCAATAAGGATTTACCAGGGTAAATGTCTAGCTCAATGAGGAGCTAAGGGCAAGTTGATCATTTCAAAATTTGAAAGCATTGGCATTGTTCTTCCAGGGAGGTCAAGAAAGGACCCTTGGCGGCGAAATCATCCGCAGAAGATAGTGAACCAGTTGAAGCCTCAGAATGATCTGCTATCGTTTATTAATAAATTATTTTTTGTAGATTTGTGAATGTCAAAGGCTTTTGTACTCGGGTAAATGAAAACTGTTGCACAGCACTTGAGAGCGTGGGCCAATCAGATGACTTGTCACAGGAAAGCAGGTGTCATTCAAGCTTTGTGACCCGAGTTGGATCCAGAATCCAAGTGAAAAAAAAAAAAAGCTTCCTGCTCCATCTTTATCCCTGCGCATCTTGTAGGCAGGGCAAATTCTGAATTAAAGGTTTTGTGGGTTGAGTTGATGTCCCCCTCCTTCTACTGGAATTCCTCTAGGAAGTGACCACTTCAGTCTCTGTAGGAATCTATGGGTCACTCTCGTAGACTTTTCATCGTCTCCCCCATCCCAGGTCTCCAGCCAGAGACACCCTCCCCCTCTGCCATGCTCACTCCCAGCCCTCCCCCCATACCTGATCACCATCCCCCTTCCCCTCCTTGCCCCCTCCCCCACCCAGTTCCCTCCATCCACCTCTGATGACTATTTAGTTTTCCCTTCTGAGTGAGATTCAAGCATCCTCCCCTGGGCCCCTTTATTACTCAACTTCTTTGGGTCTGTGGATTGTAGCATGGTTATCCTGAACTTTATGGCTAATGCCCACTTATGAGTGTATACCATACTTTCTGGGTCTCAGTTACCTCACTCGGGATGATACTCTCAGATTCCATCCATTAGCCTGAAAATTTCATGTCTTTGTTTTTAATAGCTGAATTGTATTCCATTGTGTAGATGGACCACATTTTCTGTATACATTCTTCAGTTGAGGGACATCTAGGTTGCTGCTAGTTCCTGGTTATTACGAATAAAGCTGTTATGAACATACTTGAGCCAGTGTCCTTGTGGTATGGTGGAACATCTTTTGGGTAAATGCCCAGGAGTGTTATAGCTGGGTCTTGAGGTAGAACTATTCCCAATTTTCTGAGAAACTGCCAAATTGATTTCCAAAGTGGTTGTACAACTGCTCACTCCTTCCTGCAATGGAGGAATGTTCCCCATACTCCACAACCTCTCCAGCATGTGGTGTCACTTGAGTTTTTGATTTTAGCCATTCTGACAGGTGTAAGATGGAATCTCAAGAGTCATTTTGATTTGCATTTCCCGGATGACTAAGGATGTTGAACATTTCAGGTGCTTCTCAGCCATTCAAGATTCCTCTGTTGAGAATTCTGTTTACTGAGGGAATGGCCAACCAATGACTGGCCCAACTTGAGACCCATCCCATGGGAAAGAACCAACCCCTGACACTATTAATGGTATTCTGCTATGCTTACAGACAGGAACCTAGCATAACTGTCTCCTGAGAGGCTTCATCAAGCAGGTGATGGAAACAGATGGAAAGACCCACAGCCAAATGTCAGATGGAGCTCAGGGAGTCTTGTGGAAGAGTAGGAGATAGAATTGAGTTAGCCAGAGGGGTCAAGGACACCACAAGAAGATCTACAGAGTCAACTAATCTGGGCCCATGGGGGCTCACAGAGACTGGACCACCAACCAAAGAGCATGTAAGAGTTGGACCTAGGTCCCCCACACATTTGTAGCAGATGTACAGCTTGGTCTTCATGTGAGTCCCCTAACAATTGGAGCAGGGGTGGGGCCTGTCTCTGACTCTGTGCCCTACCATTGGATCCCCTTCCCCTACCTGGACTGCCTGGTTGGGTCTCAGTGGGATGTGCTTAGTCTTGCTGGGACTAGATGTCCCAGGGCTGGTGGTACCCAGGAGGGGATCCCCTTTTCTGAGGAGCAAGGGAGGGGGTGGTGGGAGAAGGGCTTTGTAAGGGCAGGACTGGGAGGAGAAGAGGGAAGTGGCTGTGATAGGGATATAAAGTGAATTAAAAATTATAGAAAAAATAAAATACAAAATAAAAGCATATACACACACAAAGCTGCATAGGGCAGCAAGCATATGTGATCAGAGCACTCCTGTGGTAGATAGGTGAGGACATAGGTGGTAAGGACAGGAAAATCACACTGAGCCTGGAGTACACAGAGAAAGACAAACAAGAGACCCGGCCTCAAGTAGGTGATAGGCCAAAACTGACCCCCAAATGCTATCCTCAGACCTCCATAATTGCTATGGCATGCATGAACCTAGGTGGGCGCTCACCCTCGTGCTCTCTCTCTCTCTCTCTCTCTCTCTCTCTCTCTCTCTCTCTCTCTCACACACACACACACACACACACACATACACACATGCACACACATAAAATAAAAACTGTTTTAAAATTGAGAATGTGCCTACTAACCATAGCAAACTACTGACATTCCAGTGATATAAAGACGGCTCAGTGGCCTCAGTCCCCAGGGAACCATGGGCCAGCATGGCTGGTTATGGTTCGTTCAAGGCAGAGTCACTGGCCCTCTGAGTCCTCACCTGGCTGTGCAGGAGGCACCTCCCAAGCTCCTTTCTGAGCATGGCGGCAATCAAGTATTTCTCTGTGTGGTGACATCTGAGAGACACTTAAAGCACAAGCAGAAGGAGTGCACACACGTGGGAAGCGGCGGGAGCTGCCCCGGAAGCCGCCGCATCACCGGAAGCAGCCCCCGCTGCCTCCCTTCAGGGACAGTGTGCTCTGTACTGAGCCCTGGGCTGGCCCTCCAACGTCTTGTGGCATTTAACCCACGCTCTACTGTAGCAGCATGGTTTGAAACTGTCATCCACTAGGCGGGATTGGGCAAACCTGGAATCTCAGTACTTGAGAGATGCAAGTAGTGATTCCTGCAACTTCAAGGCCAGTCCGGGCTACACAGTGGGGTCCAGGCCATTACATTAAAAAAAAAAAAAAAAAACGGGCCTTGGAATGTAAACGGAATGCCACCTGCTCGAGTACTCTATATCATACACCATAATAAGCAATTAGACCCTACCATCCAAAACCTCTCACCCGGTACCCTGCCCTACTGCAGGGAACAGGCTATGGAGACTCACAAACCATGCTGCTGACAAAAGTCAGTATCCATGTGGAAGGTGATGACCATACTTCCTAAGGACTAACAATGAGTCAGGCACAGTGCTGAGCACTTTAGTTACGATGTTATCACAGGGACAGAGACACACCCTCCTCCCAAGCCTACTCATCCTATACTTGAGGGGCAGGGATTTGACGTTGACAATAACATTGGAAGCAAAGGAGGAATTGACAAGAAAGGGGAGAAAGAGGAGCCTGAATCACTGGACCCCCCAGAGCCGGCACCAGGCCTTTCCACACAGCCATTAAAACTACTACAATATGGGCTCATTTCTCCAAACAAGTTTTGAGATACCATGTTATCCTCCTCCACCCTAGAACTGGCAAAGTAAACACTTTCCATACCCTTTCATTTGTGTATTATTATTATTATTATTATTTGGGTTTCTTAAGAGTTGGGGGACTCACTGTCCTGGAACTCACTCTGTAAATCAGGTTGGTCTCAAACTCACAGAGATCCACCTGCCTCTGCTTTCCAGGTCCTGGGACTAAAGGTGTGTGCCACTGTCCCAGACTTCCACATCCTTCAGCAGATGAAGGAAACAGTGATAGAAGTCAAGAGCTGAAACTGAAGAATGAAACTCAAGGAAGCTGTGGCCATGACAGAAGTAACTGGGACGGGGCTCACCTGTGAGCAGTGCCTGGAGCTAATACGGCACTTCCAGACAGACTCCGGCCCTAACGAGGAGACGCTGGAGGCCTTGGCTGGCACTTTCAAACTGACAAAAAGAAGACATTAAGATTTGGTTCCTTGCCAGGTAGTGGTGGCACACGCCTTTAATCCCAGCACTTGGGAGGCAGAGGCAGGCGGATTTCTGAGTTCGAGGCCAGCCTGGTCTACAGAGTGAGTTCCAGGACAGCCCGGGCTACACAGAGAAACCCTTTTTTGAAAAACCAAGAATAATAATAATAATAATAGTAATAATGAAGATTTGGTTTCTTTATCAAAGGCATGAGATGGGGCTCAGGCGGTTGTCCAAGGCCCACACATCTGAGCTGGAGTCAAGGGACCATACCTTTGGGTCTCACCTTGTTGGAAGCTATGGGTCAAAGTTTGGCCCAAGAGTTAGTTTAATGTACCTCTGGCACAAGGATTGGGAAAGGTACTCCATACCCATAGGTTCTACCAAGCAGAACCTCGAGGAGTCCTCACAAAAATGACCCTGGACTTCCCGAAGCTTCAGAAGCCTTGAAGAGTCTCACACTCTCTTCTGGGTACCAAAGCAGAGAGGCCATGTCATGGGATCTCTGAGTCCCTGGCTTAGGCTCTTTTTGTTAATGTTTTTTCAGCTTCCTTGCTGGGGCACGGGGCTGTTAAGTTTTATGTCCATCCGTGGTATATTAATAATAAACCTAGCTATTCCCGGGGCAGAAAGTAGAGAAAGTAGAGAAAGATGTATTCAGTGTGAGCATATGAGGAAGAGGAACACCAAGTCCAGTGATTCTCCTCAAGTCCATCTTCTGGGCCCTGATGTAAATAAAGTTTAGATTTAAATAGAGGGCAAGAAGTCTGCATTACTAGGCAGCCCCGCCCACAAGGTGGCTCCGCCCACAGGGTGGCTCCGCCCACCATCTTGTTCCAGTCTCTCTAGCAAGTTGTTTGGAATCAATGCTGGCTCCAGGCTTCAGCTTTTCCCTTTTCCCCTCACTAGATTCTGGAGGAAGCTCCAGTTTCCTGGAAATTATTGTTTCAATAGTGTCCTAGTTAGAGTTACTATTGCTGTGATCAAACACTATGAGTTGAAGAAAACAGGGTTTATTTGGCTTACACTTCCACATCACAGTCAAAGGAAATCAGAACAGGAACTCAAGCAGGGCAGGAACCTGGAGGCAGGAGCTGATGCAGAAGCCATCAAAGGGTACTACTTGCTGGCTTGCTCCCCATAGCTTGCTAGGCCTTCTTTCTTAAAGAATCCAGGGCCACCAGCCCAGGGATGGCACCACCCACAGTGGACTGGGCCCTACCCCATCAGGCACTAATTAAGAAATGCCCTACAGGCTTGCCTACA